TTGGGGGGGGGGGGGTTCTTTTTCACGAACTAAGACATTCCATACAATTATATTTTAAGACAATTATTTATGTGGAAAAGTCAAGCATTTGAAAGTTCAGAAGTAAAGGCTTACCTTGGCCCCTTTGTGCATATATGTATTATCATACAGTCTTTAATTACTGTACATGAGCAGACACCATTTTTCCCTAGGATCCTTGCCTCATTCAGCGCATATGATGAATGCACAGTTTTAAAGTGAAAATCTCTAAAACTTACCCCATAGTGGTTATTTAAATATGTCTCCATGCCAATAGAAGCCACTTTTCCAACTTGAGTTTAATAACTTAATTCTGAAATCTTCTGTCCTAACTGTTAATGGATTCTGGTCATGCTTTCAGCAAAAGTAGCAATCTTAAGGCCAACCTTCATAAATATAATGCAAGACTGCCAGCCCTTTCCCTGAGATCATGTCATTCTATATTTAGGAACTTATTATGTGTATGTACATAGGTCATTTGACTAATTGTTTTGTTGGCAAACTTCTTTGAAGCAGTCTGTAGATTTAACCTGATCTTTCTTGATGCCATTGTGCCATCATGATGTAGCACTACATATAATGCAGAGCTAAGCTTTATCCAATTCCAGAACACAGTTCATATATTAAAATTTTTATATCTATATTTTTTCCACTTTAGTAATCGTTTGTCTTTTGTTTTTCAGGATGTTTTATGTCCTGCACTTTAATATATTGAATCAAAATAATAAAATACACAACGTATTTTACTTTGTATTCATATATATATTTCTATGTCTGACTTACCATTGCCAATTCCAATATGGGCACTCGGTCCAAATATAGAATCATAGAAAATTAGGGCTGGAAGGAACCTCAGGAGGACATCTAATCCAACCCCCGCTCAAAGCAGGACTGTCCCCAACTATATCATGCCAGCCAAGGAAGCAGGTACCTGTCACTGGACATGTATCTGCTGAAATAACAAGATAAATATTTTGATAATACTTAAACAGTTATAGAATCAGGTGAAGTTAAACTTGTTAAATATCTACCAATTATGTATAAATGAACCAATTCCCAAGACCTTCACAATTTTGACTAGGAAAAGTTAGCATTTTGACTAAGGGCTTGGACAAACATAACATTTCATAAAATCATAGAAAATTAGGGTTAGAAGGGAGGTCATCTAGTCCTACCCCCTGGTCAAAGCAGGACCACCCACAACTATATCATCCCAGCCAAAGCTTTATCTAGCCAGGTCTTAAAAATTTCCAAGGATGAAGATTCCTCAGCCTCTCTGGTTAACCTGTTCCACTGCTTTATTACCCTCCCAGTGAACAAGTTCTTCCTAATATCTAACCTAAACTTCCCTTGGTCTTAAAACCATTGCTTCTTGTTCTGTCATCTGCCACCACTGAGAACAGTCTGGCTCCAGTAGGTTCAAGGCTGCTATTACATCCCCTCTCAGTCTTCTCTTCTCTAGTCTAAATAAGCACAGTTCCCTCATCCTGTCCTCAGAAGTCATGCAACCCAGGCCCCTCACCATTTTTGTGTCTACATCTTTTTTCTTGTAGGGGGTCCAAAACTGGACACAATACTCCAAATGTGGCCTCACCAGTGGTAAATAGAGGGGAATAATAATCATTTCCTTCGATCTGCTGGCAGCACTCCTACCAATTCAGTCCAGCATGCCATTAGCCTTCTCAACAAGGGCACCCTGTTGGCTCATACTCAGCTTGCTGTCCAGTGTAAGCCCCAGGTCCTTTTCTGCAACTTCAGCCGCCTCATTCTTCTGGCCTGGTGGTCTGTAGCAGACACCCACCACAGCATCACCCTTGTTGCTGTCCCCTCTTATCCTGACCCAGAGACTTGCAACAGACCTATCTCCAGTTTTATACTGGAGCTCTGAGCAGTCATACAGCTTTTTTACATGAAGAGCATCTCCTCCTCCTCTTCTGCCCTACCTGTCCTTCCTGAACAGTTTATACCCATCCATGACTGCTGTAGTCATGTGAGCTATCCCACCAAGTCTGTAATTCCAGTCATATCATATAATCAGTTTACTACCAACTATTATGAAGAGAAGCTTATCATAATGAAAACTTTTGGATGTGTCACGCTTAATCACAGTTATATTTTCTCTTCAGTAAATAACAAAATTACATTAATTATTAAAAGTACCTTAAGTCACTATATGTCTATTAAAATAGAAGCATATTATCACAATATTAACATTTTATTTTAACACTTATTCTTGAACCAGGCACGTAAGCTAGATGTGTATTTTGAATACGAGGAAAAAATAATGAGCAAGTCCACTCTGGATAAATCTCTTTTGGACATGATATCTGACCCAGATGGTGAGTACAGTAAATCTGACCTTGGTATAAACTTGCTTTCTGTTTGTTTGTGTGACATTAAAGTAGGGTCATACAGTCTTTAATTTTGCTGTTAGCAGAGAGTGCATCTGTAAAGTACACTAGACTTGCTAGGAAAAGAGCTTATATTAGGTTTTAATAACAGCCTGGGGAATTCACTTTTTAGACTAAATAAATCCAAAGTAATGACTGGAATTTTGCAGCTCCTATAAAATCCTTTTCTGGCTCAGTAAAAGAGTTTCTGAAGGGACAGTTGTAAAGTATTTGCTTTAACTTTTTTGTGCCTCTAATGTAGTTATTCTAATAAGCTGCTACATTGTGAAAACAATAATATTTTGCTGGAAGTACTAGGATTCTCATTTTGTGTAAAGTATGTATAGCTACTAGATAAAGATGAAACAAGCAACCAAGCAATAAATTAAAAGAGTAAATGCACAGTAGATGATCATTCTAGGCAGAGTCTAGGAATAGTAACAACTTATTCATGGTTGAACATGAGTATAGTCCACAGCCTTCCATAGAGGTAAGTATTTATCAACCTATTTCCTTTAAACAAGTCTGAAAATTCACTTGACCTAATAAAGGTTTGGTTAATGATAACCTATATAACCACAGAGCTTTGTTCGTAGTTAATATTTTCCTTGATAGTCTGTGGTATTTAATGCTACAAAATGCCGAAATAACTAGCTTGTTAAAAAGCAGTGAATGTCAAGTATATGGCTTCTAAAGCTGGCATGTGTTGCAAAATGGATAAGGCAGGAGACAAGATGAAGGTTGAGAAAACAAAAGAAACAGAGAGATTTTGATGGATCTGAATGAATTCAAGTCAGCTGGGCCTGATGAACTTCATCCCAGAGTACTGAAGGAACTGGCAGAGGAGACCGTGGAGACCTTGGCAATCCATGAAGTCAAAAGAGATGGGCAAGATACCAGAGGACAGGAAAAGGGCCAGTGGTAATGCTCCTTTTTTTTAAGTCAAAAAGACTAGTTAGCCTCACCTCAATACGTGTGAAATTACTGGAGAATATCATAAGTAAGCCCATTTGCAAGCATTTGGAGAAGGAAGGGATGATCAGGAGCACCTGGCATCGATTTACGATGAACAAATTTGCCAAACAAATTTTATCTCCTTCTTTGACAGAGTAACTACTTGGGTGGATAAAGGAAATGCAGTAGATGTAGTGTATCTGGATTTCATTAAGGCTTTTGACAAATTCCACATGACCATCTGATAAACAAGTCAGAGAAATGTGGGCTAGACAAAACCATCATAAGGTATATAGATAACTGGCTCAATGGCCACAAACAAAGAGTAATTATATATGGAGCCGTGTTGGAATGGCATTTCATGTGGAGTCCCACAGGCTTCTGTCCTGGGCCCAGTGCTGTTCAACATGCTTATTAATTTTTTGGATGCTGGAATACAGACTTGTCAAGCAAATTTGCAGACAGTACTGAACTGGAAAAAATTGTGAATATACTGAAGGATGGGGACACAATTCAGAAGGATCTTAACAGTTTGGAAGGCTGGACTGGAGCTCATAGGATGAAGTTCAGTGTGAGCAAATGTAAGATGCTACACCTTGGAAAGAATAATTAGAAACACAAATACAAAATAGGTGACAACTGGCTGGATCCCAGTACTACAGAGTAAGATCTAGGAGTCTTGGTGGACCACAGACTCAGTACGAGTCTGCAGGATGATGCAGCTCCACAAAAGGCAAATGCAGTTTTGGCCTATGTCAATAGAAGCATTAGGTACAGGACATGGGAGATGAGGATGTCTCTCTTTACTCAACAATGGTTAGGCCTCCTCTCTAGAGTATGCTGTGTAGTTTGGGGCTCTACATTTTTAAAAGGACATGGAGAAGTTAGAAAGGGTCCAGAGGTGGGCAGCAAAAATGATAAAAGGTTTTGGAAGGCAAGCCGTACAGAGGTTGAAGGAAGTAGGCATGTTCAGCTTGTGGAAAAGGTGATCATGAAGGGACATAATAGCAGTCTTCAGATATTTGAAAGGCTGCTGTAAAGATGAAAACTTTTTCTCTCTTTCTCCAGAAAGCAGAATGTGAACTAATGGGTTGAAATTGCAGCAAAGTAAGTTTATATTGGATATCAAGAGAGACTTCCTTACTGTTAGAACAGTGAGGCAATGGAATAAATTAGGGAAGTTGAAATCTCCTTCATGGAAAGTTTTCAGGAAGAGGTTTGATAAGCATTGGTTAGGGGTGAACTAGGAGTAGCTATGCCTATGCTTTAATGTAGGTATTTCTAACACTTCTGGGCTTTGCTGGTTGACTTATGGGGCCAGGAAGAATTTTTTTCTCCTGTTGCTACACGTGCTGGGGGAAGGGGGGGAAGTTCACCTTCCAAAGAAGCATTGAGTGTTGATAGGAGCCAAATGTTGTGATTTGCTAGATGTGTACCCATATTCCTGCTGGGTCTAAAATCTGGAGAGTTCTGAGCCTCTAGAGCAGGGGTGGCCAAAATATGGCCCGCGGGCCAGATCTGGCTCCCGGAGGGACTTTGTCTGGGCCATGTTGGGTCCCTTGGTTCTACCTGGCCCCAGGTGCTGTGTGGCCCATGGTGTATCCTGCTTCCCCCTGAACACACAGCTGGGCTGGGGCGGCTCCGCAGCCTGACTGTCTTTCTAGGCAGCCCAGGTGGTGGCAGCTCCTTCTGGTTGCTGCTGCTGCTACTGGCCCCAGCT